AATCTAGAATACATCAAGAGACAGAGCTCTTACTCAAGAGTTAAGTGTCTCATATATAGAGCATGTGATGTATTCCGAGGAAGATCAAGGCTTAAGCGCCAAAAAGGTTAAGTGTTTGATGCAGAGCTTCATTCTAGACACAGAGCCTCTACATAACAGAGCCTCTACATAGTATATGCAGAGCCTCTTAGTGTCCTACTCTCATGGAATGCACACATGGTTCAGACTTTCCCGCAAGACCTCTAATTAGTATGGGAGATGAATATCTTAGTCCTCTTCTTTTAAGTCTGGAGACAAAATCTGGAATACGTTCGACAGAGTTATAACTTCACATGGCCAAAGTTGATTCATACGGGAAGAGTAGTTTAGGCACCTACTCCTAAGTCTAGAGTCGAAATCGTTGGACGGGTCTCTAAATTTGTAGAGGAGGGCTCCAGAGTTTTGAATTCTGAACTGACAATTACTCTGCAAATGCGGTTATACCATGGATACGTGAAAGTAACCGTCCGAAGGGACACATGCCACTTAGATAGACCTATTTAAACTGTAAGTGAAAATTGTATCCACATACATGTTTAGGTGGGAAAAATCAATAACTGGAGCACAGGAAAGGGCCATGTGACCCAAAAGTTACTTATTTATTAGGTGTATAGATAATATGGTTTATTTTTTCTTTTCTGTTTGATTATATATATATATATACATATATAAAGAGGATGATAAAATCAACGTGGGTTCGAATCTTACCATCTATATATACGTTTGTAGTCACTGGAATATTATAGCATTATTCGCGAAATCTACGGTGGTAGTTTGCCATGGGATTAGTGAAAGGTGGGATTACCCATTTTCAAAGAAAATATTATGTTAGAATCATCTCTTTGTTATTTGGTTTGTGGTTTTTGATATGAACCGTTAGAAGAGTAATATAAATCGAGTTTGTGATGAATTGTGTTGTTGTATTCTTTTAATAGATAAATATCAAAGATGATAATGTTTGACCGGTGTAAATAAAGTATCTATATGAACATTTTATTTATATATATAAACCATTGCTATTTAAGAGTTAAATCTTTTATACAGGTATACAAATCAATTTATACATACCTCAATTAGTTCTATTAAACTTTACAATCAACAGTCAAGAAAACCTTCATTAACCCTTAATAAAATGATGGGTCGATATACAAAGGGTGGAGTTTGCTGACCAATATACAAAGGGTGGGGTTTGTTGACCCTAGTCAACTCTTGGAAATTTTACTTTATTAAAAAAATTTACTCTTCGACACTTTTAGCTCTACCAGACCCATTCAAAACTCAGATCAAACTTCAGTCGTTTTATTATTTTGTTCCTTATGCTTTTTCTTTGTTGGATAACTTGAATTCGTGGAGATTGCATGTTGGATGAGTACAGCTAGTTAATTGTTTTCTTAAATCCATGATTCATTGTATATTTCATCGTTCTATGTGTTCAAATTAATTCCTCTTACATAAAAATAATACCAGTATAATAACGGTTTGGTTTAACTAAAATAGAAAAAATAATTGAAACTGATCAGAATAAGATGTTCTTATTTGGTTAACCGAATCATTTAACCTTAAAACTGAAAAACATGAGACCATTTTTGTTCGGGTGAATTATTCAATTTTGGAATTTTTCAACACCCCTAAGTTTAAGCCCAGTCATCTAAGTTTCCGTATCCACCACTACCTGATAGACTCGAAATGATGACCAATAATGAAAAAACTGAAAATCTATCCAACTAAAATACCTCAAGGGTTTCCCTTATACGTACTTTTATAACAAAATTAGCATTGTATCGCATAAGTGACCTATAATATGGAACTTGTTTACAAAAACACTTAACATGCATGTGTCATAACATGATTCAAAATTACTCATTATGGCGCATTATAACATCGAGGCTTGCTTTCGCCATCATATTAACTTTTTTGGCTCCACTGCAAGCCTTGGCCTGCATTTTAAAAGTATTGTGCCTTATTTTATAAGATTTAAGGCTTTTTTTTATAACTTAGAACATAAATGATAACACTATAAAGAATTCTAAGACTTAGGGGTTGTTCGTTTGTGGTTTAATGGGTTGTATAAGCCTTATAACTTATTCGCTCAGCTATAGAAAGTTGTCCAGTTAGGGCTTATTCGCTCAGCTCAAAAAATCACTCCTATAGCCCCAGCCATCAATATTTCCCTAATTACCCTTAATTTCTCCTTGCATCGTTTGCTTCTCGCAGACTTCTCCACCTGCTCAAAGCTTACATGGTCTTCTTTACCTGCTTCTCTATCGTTTTCTCTCGTTCTCCCCCTACTCGTCGTCGATCTCGTTCTTTCATTGCTCAAAGCCATCAATATTTCCCCCACTCGCCGTCGATCTCGTTCTCTTCAACCACTTTAGTTCTCCGATGGTCTCCTTTTCTCCTGTCTATATCATTCTCCAGTGGTCTCCTCTCCCGTCTATATCGTTCTTCAGTGCTCTCGTTCTCTTCTATCACTTTCGATCTCTCCTACTTGCTTCTCCATCTCCTGATCTCTCCATCATATGGTCTTCATCTCTCAATTTGGATCTGATATGTGTTTATTTTTCTTTCTTTTTTGCTTCGTTTTTTTGTTTCATTGCTTCTATTACAGTTCAAACACAGGGACATGGGTTGTATTTGGTTTTTGTTTCTTTGATTTAGTAACATATTTTCTATTTGGGTTTGGGTTTGGGTTTGGGTTAAAAATATTGTATCTGGGTTTTGATTATAAATCTTCAATCTTATATGTGGGTTTTGGTTACAACCAAGTGTGTTTAATCTAACTTTTAATTTTCAAGTTTATGGATTTTGTGTGAATCAAAATTAATGAGTTTACATGTATGGAGGACAATGAAGAAGAAATTGGAACTCTTTAGGGACAATGAAAAAGAAATTGGAACTCTTTAGGGACAATGAAATATATATTAGCCGGAGATGATGAAGAAATTGAAATATTTTTTGTTTATGAAAAAAAACAAATAACAAGGGGTAAAATGGTCATATATATCATTCAGAGTGTTTGTTCAACACTGCAACCGAACAACTTATCTGTTATCAATACAAACGGTCTTATTCATAGATGTCTTAATAGAAAACAAACCAAACAACCCTTTAGATAAGCCCAATATAGGTAAATCATTAACCCTCATTTTTCCTTCATACACAGAGTCAATGAATTTCTTGAAGATCGAATAAAGTAACATGTAAAGATTCAAAATCCGATTTTGACTTAGATAACCATTTTTATATGTTTTATATATTTGCTATCAATGGTTCTTTATTTTTTTTTTAGTATTATTACTTTATATGAATTTAAATTGTTCTGTAGTATCATTCAAAACACTAACATACACAATACATAGAGTTGGCTCCTGAAAATATCATTTTTGTGACAAGTATAAGAAATGTAAACTTCACATAAGATAATGTAACATTCGTAAAATATATGTGAAAGTACCCATATATTGTAAGAAAGTGATTGCTTCCACGAAAACCAATGGAGATAGATGTTTAGAACCTGTAACCTTCACAAAATATTACATAACTTTCACACATTAAAAGGCTATACTTTCACCACTGCTCATGCTCCTCACCAAAAATCATTTTTCACACATTATCCCAAGTCTATATGACTAAAAATCTTTTTTCACATATTATCCCAAGTCTATATGTGTGCTTGCATGTCTGCTGCCTTAGGATGCCTTAAAAACGTCTTAGCCTCACTGTAAAGTATAAGACTTTAGCCTTAAGAACCGTTTACAAAATGCTTACCAGGAGGAGCACCACCCTCAACCACAAGGGTTGTGGCACAATTTTGAGGCCCTAGGGGATGTGGTGGAATAACCCATCTACCTAGGGATCCATTCTAAATGTACACAACAATTGTGACCACTAAGTTTATTAGAGCTAATTTCTTACAGTCACAATTTACCGAGATTAGTCCACACATAGCATGGAACATCCTTCAAAGAAAAAAGAGCACCACCCTCACTTAACCTTATCGGATAACATTATTAGCCATCAAAACGGATTGTTAGCAAGCAACTTTCACACCAAAAACACTTACCGGATAAGACTCTCACTTACCAATCCTTGCTATGCCTTTATCGAGTAAGATTCTAGGTCTTTGTCACGCTCATTCAGAAAGCAAGTGACACCCAGTAAATACTTGCTCGATAAGTGTTTGGTAAACGACCCTTTAATCTCACCGCCATGCAATGCCTTGCATCATTTAGAAAAAAGAAAAAAAAAAACTTGCGTATAAGCAAGTTCCTTACCGTAACAGCCATTACACTTCTAATTTCTAAACTTATTTTCAATTTTCATTTCTTTTCCAATCTACACGTCTTGAAAACTCGAAGAAATAGTTGGTTGAAGGTCCTAAACATATGAGAATACGAGGTTCCTATTCATCACTTCTTCGGATGCTCGTTTACAAAGACTTAAAAAGCCGCATCCAACATGCAAAGCTTACGACCAACGTAACAGAAAATATAGATGAAAGTAAGACTGAACGGTTAATTACGACGACATGGATGTATTGGGCTGATCATAAACCCAGACAACCCAATAAACCCACACGAAGTAGGGACTAAAAAGACAGGCAAGCTTTACCTCTACCTCTACCTAAATGGAGTATTAAAGACTGATTTTTAGTGTTATTTAGCTGAATGCCCTCGTCGTTTAAATCCATAACCTTCTAACAAATTTCTAGGCAGTCTTGTATATGAAAGTGACATTCTTCTGTCAAGCAGTAACATTCTTAAAACCTGTTAGAAAGTCAAGATCATTTAACCAAAGGACCCCTGTATTTTCACAAGGACTGATGATGATGTTTGTATTTTAAGCTGAACATCTTTTGGTGCACAGGGGAGAAAATGCCACTTTCGGCACTTACCGCTTACCTCAAAGCATCTATTTTGGTGCGATAAAGAGAGCTTCAAGGTATCGAAAGAGCCGCAAAGATGCAATCAAATATCTGGATACAAAATTGTTAGCTGCCTTTGAACCACCATTGTACAGTGTATAATTATCCTGATCCTGAGTAAAAGAAGAAAACGTATTATGACAACAACCAAATCGGGTGCCAGATACGAAACAACTACCTTCCACCTGCACTATCATCGGTCGTATATACTTTCTCAACAAACCCACAAATAATTATCAAAATCGTGACAAACTAATTTCATCCATCACTGTGAATGATGAGGGTGAGCATAAAACACCATTCCAGATGGCTGTATAGGCCTAAAACTAGGAGTCGGGGCTTGCTGAGGCAAAGCCGCCTGATGGCTCATCTGCATTTGCTGGTGAGTCAAAGGAACCATCGGACTCATCATATAAGATGGTGGTGGAGGCGGGGGCGGGCCTGCAGGCAACGGCGGCACATTAGCATAAGCATATGAGGTCACAATCCCACCAGAGGGTTGTTGCATATATTGCTGGGAATGTGGGTTTGAAAGTGAATGATATTGAGCTTGAGAGTTAGGAATGAGAGTCGGTTGTGGAATTAAAACCGTTTGGTAAGGGCCGTTTGCAGATAGATTTAGTGTTTGTGAAGTCATAAATACGTTGTGATCGGAGACGGGAAGGGGTCGTTCTGGTTTTGATACGGCTGAAAAAGAATTGGAAACCGTTGTGGTCTTTGTGAGCCCAGCGTTTTTGGCTTCTTCGGCTGCAAATGTAGAGAGAACAGATGACATAATATACTGAGAGGAGGTAGAGGCAGCAAGCCGATCTGCCACTTCTGCTGCTATATCGGCGGCAGACTTTTTAGATCCCGCTTTTGCATCGGCAGCAACTGATGGTGGCGTGGCAGTGGAAGGTTTTGAATCTGCCACATAATTTTCATCATCTAGCTGTTTACGCATGTTTTCTGCTTCTTCCGATTGTGCTTGTGCTACCTGGAAAAATGGTCGCAGTACATATTAATATTCTCGTGATGACAACAGTAGTTTAAATTGGGTAAATACATGACAACTGCAAACGAGTGTGTTTTCATAATTTTAGTTTTTTAATAAATCCATATACTCAGACACCCATGTGTCCTCTGAGACTCGACCCACAACGCCATTGGAGGGTTTGCATGAATGGTAACTTCAGGACCCCACAGAATTGGTCAAGGTGAGCGCAGCGTGAAAGCTGACCCAGACACCCACAGTTACCTAAAAGAGGCCACTGAAGGGTATGTCTGGATATTAACTTCAGGGCCTCATGGGATTAGTCAAAATGCACGTAAGCTGGCCCGGTCACCCACGATTACCAAAATGCACCGTTGCATGTCGCTTCTAGGGATGGCAACAAAGTGGATATGAGGCAGGGGTTGGTTTCCGACACTGCATCCCCACCCCACAAAAAATCTATCTGCCCTTCACCCCTCTCCTACCCCCATGATAGCTCTGCCCACAACTATCTCACCCCATATCCATCCTGACACCAACTCATTTGCCTAAGAACTATCAAAATAATTTGTAACTACTTATGGAGTTCACAGTTTGCAGGATGCCAATTACAGCATTTGCATTTCCTTTTTTAAGAATTTGCATGATTCAACCATGAAAAAGAAGATCTATTGATTATAGCACTTATAAAATCATGTCATGGTGGCTGAAGTGAAGAAAATAAGTAACAATGCCAAGCATACAGAAGAGGTGAGCATACAAACCTGCATTTGAGTGCGAACATTCTCTAACTCAGATTCCTGAAAATATAAGAAGTAACAATGTAAGATGACTGCATATGCTTATAGTTTGTAAAAAACATTCAGTTTGCAAATATTTATATAAAAAAGAAAAAATTGACTTTTGATATAATAATACCTGGTCATTCAATGCATCGCGCAACTGAGACACAAGAGTCAATCTATTTGCTTCAACAACTTTAAGTTTCTCAATACATTGCTTCAAGAGATATTCCTCTTCCTCCAGTACTTTGGACAAAGTTTTCCTCTTTGGATCTTTTGCTGCATTTTAGAGAAACACCATTAGACACCAACCCATGAAGCATCAGGCCTTGGGTCCTAATACATCAGGTGCTATCAATCTCTTAGCGGTCACCCCCATTAGCTGATAGACCATGGACTAATCAATCTGCTGGTGCCGGGTCCAAGGTACGAGATAGCACGGTTAAAAAAGTAAAAAAAAGATGCCAGCATTAGGTTCCAACAAAACTTGGAAGACAAGAATATCTAAACATCAGATTGGAAAAAACAGAATCAAGTGATTTCATAGCATCACTAGCCTACCATTTGTCAAGGCCAAATCAATTTCTTTCTCCATTTTCCTAACACGGTGAACAGCAGATTTGCATTTATTCATCTCTTCATCTTCACCATGGTGTTCACTGACAACCAAGTGAAAAGCTGAGACAATTCTCTCCGCTGTACTACCGATGGTCAGTTTCTGATTCCAAGAAATGATAGAAAGATGTCAGGGGACCAGCATCTCAAACACAAAAAAACAAATAACTGCTAAGATGAGCACAAGTACATGATACTCACCGTCCTTATAGATCGTAAATCTCTCTTGACTATTTTCACAGAACGAGAACGTTTCTTAGTGAACTCCAGGGGTTGAGGTGATTCTTCTCCTAGCAACACAGCTTTGATGTTCTTTGCACGAGATCCAAATACTTTCCTTTCTTCCCATATATTAACCTATCATTCACATATACGTTGGTTTATTAGAAGTTAGAACTAGTGTGGCTAAATTTTCCAAACAAAATCACCAATATGATTACTGGACACCAGCACGCCAATATTTGTCAGAAAAAAAATCACCCGTATGAGTATTGCTAAATTCAGTTTCAAAACGTCTGAAAGACGCCATTTGACTTGTTAGCAATAGCTTACGGTTCCACAAACATATATAGAGACAAGAAAATCAACACATAAGACCAATTTACCATAAGTGATCCAGACAAAAAAGGATGCATACCAGTCGTGTGACAACATTTTTCCCATGATCATCGCCTTTCTCAATAAGATCTTTGAGGGCTCCCGGGAGGACCTTCCAAAACTCAGAGACAAATTCATTTCCTTTACGCTTGCTGTTCTGAAGGATATCATTTGCAAGATACAGAAGAGGAACCTTCTGAGCCACCTCAGAACTATGGAACAGTTTCTCCCATGTTGTAACAATCAGTTCTGCTTTGCTTCGGTGAAATATACACCAATGAGACAACGCTATACAGGGTCAAGATAACAAGATGTGACAGAAAACTATCATATGACACGGTTCTGGTAAATATTAGCAAAAGATAAGTCACTAAACATCATATGCAAATAAAAATATGATGAAAAAAACCAATAAGTACACTCCAAAGGCAATACCAAAGAGATCATAACATGTGGGTAAACAAAGCAAGCACTAAGATCTACTTAAAATAGAAATGACTAAAAGGTAAAATAGAATAACAAACAAGCTGTGAGTGAGAGAAAAGAAGAGGCCACACAATTTCAAGAAAATAAGGAGAGATCTTGCTATCATTATGTGCAAGAAGGTGTGTTGTCTACAAGATTACACGAGAAAATTATGAAAATGCAGAAGTCGAATGAGTTGATAATCCTCTCATGAACTTTCGAGCATCTAAATTTTGGATAGAGATGAAGAATTTTCACCACAAAAACATAACAGCTAAAATCAATGGCCCATAAATGATCATCAGCCAATCATTAAAACTGATACCGGTACTATATTATAAAGCATCTAGTGAAAACTCTTAAAAACAACTTATTAAGCATTAGATATTGCTTATTAATGCATAATCTCTTAACTTTCAAGTTTAAAGCTTATTATTGCATATGTACAACTTCTTAAAGCTCTACTTTTGAACTCAATAAAACCAACTGATAAACAGTATAAGCCTTGAGCCCTACTAATACGATAGAATACTCCATAAATAATTTTCCATTTTCAGTTTACAACAAAAATTTACATCTTGCAGTATCACATGGGTACATAGCCAGTTCTAATAATGAGTTCAGTTTTGAGTTTCAATTACTTCCTACCACTATAAGTTTAACAGCAACTCGAAACAAACAATCAGAGTCTTCTAAGAACTCTGATGGCGAGCATATGCAGTAAAAGAGGTCCTGCTTTTCCTCTACTCTCTTTATTTCTACTTTTTCTATACACTTGATTGCAGGATTGTTGTATAAGTAAGATTCTATATACAGAAAGTTTCACGACTCTATGACAACAAATGATATAACTGTGTATAGCACATTCCTATATGCCACCTACTTTAAGTCACTGATATTCTTGGTTTCTAGTTTCTTGATTTTTCAAAATAGTTTCCTTCCACTGCTAATTGTTCAGTGTACCTATATAGGTATAAGACTATTTAGTCTATAATGATCTGACCGTAGGTACATAGGATCAACCTACGCTTTCAACTTCCATCCTTCATAATAACCATATATTCACCTTTCAGCAAAGAACCAATATTGAAATTTCTCCCCTGAAAGAATATTACAATTGAAATCATCAACAAACCCTAAATATGAAGCTTTATTACAAACCCCATACATCTCACAAGAATTTCACATTTTCATTTGGGGATATGAAGTAAGAATCCCAATGTTTCGATCATTGGAAACTATTTTGAACCAAATTTCCTACATTTCCCACATAGCAATCATCATAAAAGTAGTTAAGATTCTCGGTGCACATAATTTACCCTGATCCAATTGAGGGAGATGCATACTTGAGTGGGTGCTTTAGTGACATGTGCAATCCAACACTGCAACACTGCAATTAGCGTGGGATGGAGGGAGTACAACTTACAAAATTCAAATGATTCCAATGTGTGCTTAACAAAAACTTGGACATACTTAAACTACAACCACCATTTTTTAATTAACCTGGATATCCAACCCACTATGCGAGCCGACTAATCCCAGGACGACTACCTGCTTTGCAGATAGCCCGGAGTCACCGTATTTGAACCTCCATAGCCACAAGGGGATTTTTATTCCTTCTTGGATTTGAACATGGGACCTCCAGGTACTTTTGAACTTTGAAGCCAAGCTCAAATCAATCAAGCACCATCATTTTTTAGCTCAGCCATTTCTATATTGCCAATTATACTAATCAAACTACTACAAATTCAAATTTACAAGAGTTTTTTGCAGTTTGGCCAAAACTGAGTTATTGAGCACCCACAAATGAGTAATCAATAACATAACTCTACACAGCAAAATATTCATCATGAAAGAAATAGGAACCTCTTAACAACGATTGATTGTTTTGATGCATACAACGAGTCACATTCCAGATCAAAGGAAATTTGCAAGTTACGACTAGCAAAAGAATCAATTAACATCACCGAAAATAGAAACTGTAGCTGGAATTATCATAAATTCATGGAAAAACATACAAGGAGGATACTTTCAATACACTGTTGAGTGCTGTTAAGCTTTGATAGCTTGTCTGCAAGTATCTGTTCATTGAACACACTATTCATCCCACTTCAAATTCACGAGATGTGCATGTATCATACACCCAAAATCAAATAACTAAACTCGAAAAAGGGTTAATATTCAAACAAAGGCCCATCGAAAGTCTGAAGCTTAAAACCCTAGAATTCGTAAGACGCTAATGCCAGCCAAATAGGAAGAATTGGTGTATTTTTTATTTGGAAGAATGGTGGGAAAAAAAGAAAACCCTAGGACCAGCGTCACCCAAGAAAAGCGATGGATGAATCGAGAATTCGAGATGGCGTTACGAGAGAATAGGGTTTTTTGAATTTGCAAAAGGTTCTTCAGCTGTAAACAGAAACAAAAGCTAGGAGAGATGAGATTCTAATATTAAGAGTAAAAGTTACCGACTCATCCCTAATGCTTGTAATTTTAACGGTTCTCATCCCTCAATTTTATTAAGATGTTTTTTGTACCTTGTATTTGTCAATTTTTAATATATTCATCTCTTAATCTAACGATTATTAACTTTTCTAGCTAAGTCCAATTAAAATGAAGAGTATCTTGGTCGAATTATAGTTTCCCTCTCTTTCAATTAAATAAAAAAATATATTATATACAATATTATATTTATAATCAAAAAAAGTAACTAGAAATTAAAAATATAACTCTGCCTCATCTCTCTCTCTCTCTCTTAAAATATAAAACCCACCTTTCTACATGAAGTCCTACCCCCAACCAAACTCTCTGGCATCGACCTCCCTCTCCAGCAACAATCTGTAGCCTCTCTCATATTCATGTTCCCTCGACGGAATGCTTATTCAAAAGCACCACCCCTTTCGATCCCTCTTGTATCTCCCTTTGATCCCTCTCATCTCCTCTTTGATCTCTGATGAGCAGCAACTTCCTCCCTCATCATTTATGGTCTACACCTACAAAATTGGTCACCTCTGTTACTTGTGTCAATAGAAGATAAAGATCAAGATTTGAGTTTTTCTGATTTTGGCCCTCCTTTTAAAGGGAAGATGCCTACGATTTCAAAGCTTTGGGCCTTTGATGGCAGATTTTCAATTCTTATAAAAGGCAGAAGAATTAAAAATGATTTAGGATATTTGTCGATAAAAGGGATAAACTTGTTTTGTTAGAGGAAGTGAAGAGATTAGAGAAGAGGGTATTGAAGTTAGCTGGTGTTAGGGTTTGTTTGGTGGTTTGAAAGAGTCGACCACCCATGTCCATGGTTACGATGTTTTGTTTGTCGATATCGTGATGATTCTTGAAAAACCCATTTGAGTGAGGTGAGACTTCACCTGTGAGATGGTTGACAATTTTTTCCAACAATTGCAAAAATTTGTGGCAAAATATAAAACTTTTGAAAAGAAAGAATGGTGGAAGTACAACTTTAGTTTTGAAGGGGGTTTAATGGTGGTACAAAGAGATTGATGTTGGTCCCAGACGGATTTACAAGAGTTTATAGCTAACAGTTTGTAGAAGGGGGGGGGGATGAAGACAAACACAACAACTTTCACTTTTTAAAACTCTTTATTGATAAACAAGATCAATACAAAATTTTATAGATTGTTTGCGGAAAAGATAAGATACAAAACTTATCTAAACAATCAAAGAAACACACAAGTTACAGAAAGCAAGAAAGAAAATACTTGCTAAAAGAAAAGGTTAAGAAGTCTTGTGCTCTTCACTGGTTACAGTGGATGTCTTTCTCTTAGACAGAGAGTTAGAGGGAGGAGTATCTTCTTGGTTAAAAAGATCTTCAAGGCAAGAAAGCTTGGCTTAGACTAAGATTGTTGAGAAGGATGAGCTTCTCAGCTATTTATACATATTACATTAAATGCAAGTCAGAAGATACAAAGCACGTGGCAAACTTTTAGAGGTGAGCTTGTCCTTTATTCAGATGTACAGGCTTTTGGTCGTATATGAACAGTGGTCTCTCACAAAGTAGGTAAGCATGCTTGGAGAGAATAGAGTGACTTCGTACATGTACTATACTTTGAGAGGTATAAGTTTGTTCTTTGTGTGTAGAAGAACAAGACAAAAACTAATCTTGTTCAATAAGATTCATCTGATCGTTGATACTAGAATAACGTTGAGTTTCTTCAGTGTTCGCTGAATCTTGAGTAGATTTCAGACTTGTGTAGACAGGCTTGTTAACTGAAAACCGCATCAGATCACGAACTTGCTTGTCTTTGTCTTCAGCTTTATCTTTCATATCGCTGAAGGTTCTGTGGTGTGAGTTCAGTCTTCCTGAAGAATATTTGTCTATGAGAGAATTACAGTACATGTTCAGCGATCACTGAACAAACTCAGTGATGATCGCTGAAGCTGGATACAGAGATAGTATGTTAGGACTGAAAGTCGGTGTAATAATGTATTCGTCTTGAAAGTTTATTTTGTCTATAATTGTAGAAAAGTCACCGTGTTTGACTTTTCTTAGATAGTTTGACTCCATTTGTGTAATGTTTGATCCTATAAATAGGGTGAAGTCTTGTATTCTTTTTAAGAGCTCCATTGTAAAATTCAGAATACGTATATTGAAGTTTGACTAGATTTCAGATCTTGACTTTTCCTCTCAAACTCTCTCATCTCTCCTCTCATGTTCTTCAAGACTAAATCATAAACTGCCATGGATTCATTGAAGATATCTTGAAGATTGATCAGAGTGGGACTCACAATTGGTATCAGAGCAGGATTGCACGAAATCAAAAAGAAGAAATCATCTGTTTTGAAGAAATTTTGAAGAGAAAGTTTCTGATTTTTTTAAAGTTCTTCATGTTCTTCATTTTTCTTTGAGTTTGATCTGTTTTTCTTTAAAATTCTTGTGTTTTTATGTTAAAACAACGATCGTTATGTGCATTTTTGGATTGTGAATCTTGTTATTCACGTGATTTCATGGTTTGATCATTAGTTTTTGAAATCTGGTTAAATTTGGGTTTTAAATTTTTTTTGTGTTCTTGATTTTTTTAATTTTTTTTTCTGTTTGATCCATTTTTTTTACTAAATTTTTTCTATTTTGTGTAATTCGCTCAAGGCCCAACCAAGTCCATTTTTTTAAGGCCCAACCAGTTTAGTCTTGCTTCATCATCCAAAATCGCCTCTAGCCCATCCTGTGTTATCTTCTTCATCAAACTCTGATCATCTCCTTCTATCATCCTAAATCGCTCACTGTTCTTGCTAAATCGCTCATAATTTGCAGACCTTACTTGACCGGATTCATAAATCGCTCAATCTCACAGGTTAAATCGCACATCACAGTTCAAGGTTTAACCGGATTCCTCTTAACTTGCACAAAGCTTGATCGGACTTTTGATCGGATTAGTTTATCGCTCAACTTTCATCTGATTTTTCTCTAAATCGTACACCTCTTGAGCAGATTCTGTCCGAATTCGCACAACCTTTGAGTGGACTAGTGACCGGAGATTGGTAAATCGGACAGAACTTAACCAGGTACATTTCAAGTATAAATCTTCTGTCCTTCTGTGAAGACTGAATGGGTAAATCGCTCACTGATTTGAGCTGATTTAATGTAAATTGCTCCAGTCTGTTGTTTGATTTTAAGGTTCTGTGCTTATTTCATCTGGATTTCAAGTTTTTTTGTGTAGTCAAGGCCTTGGCAATTCGATCGGATTAGACTTTGCTGAAACAGTCTCTAATTTTGTGAACCTACTGTTGGGTCTCGGCAGATGGATGGTAAGGATTTAGCAGCAGCAGCAAGTGAAGCTGAATTTAAGTCTTAGTTTAGGGTTTAGGGATTTGATACACATTCGAGATTTCATAATTGCAATTGACTGGCTCTTTGAGCGGAGTTTTTGTGAAGAAGTAGGTTGGCTTTTGGATGAGAATCAGGAAACTGATACGAGACTTGAGTTAGAAGTGATTGAGAAGGCTGAATGCATATCGATCAAGAGAAGGAGATTCATTATTGAAGATTGATCATCTTCCTTGGAGTTCATACGATTTCAAGTTCGAACAATCCTTGGACAACAGTCTGTCCGGATTGAGGTTCATCCATCGAACAAGATACCATCACTAGACTCTGGTTGATTCTACAGAGATTCAAAATTTATTGATTCACATTGTAAGAAGTGTTTTCTGCATGTGCAAATTTACGAGGCTTATATGAGCTGCGTTTATCATTCCTCTTCCTCTTTCGGGGTTCCGTTGAACGTTCATTGTTATTGTTGAAATTTCGGAAGAAGAGGCTGAAGATCACTTGCAAGATGCGATCCAGGAGAAGTTTGCTGAATTTGGAGATAAATAGCATCAAGCCATTGATATCCTTTTAGCAGAGATAGTCTGTTCACAAGTTTTTCTTCTTCATTGCTTTGGGAGGACTTAGTTACTCTTGAATCTGGAGCAATATGTTCAGCTCCAACAGTCTCATTAAATAGCAAAAACAGCCTGTTTATCAGCTTGGCATATTCTAACTGTTTTCATCAAAAGAAAGTCTGGAATGTACTGCAATCCAGAAGCAGAAACGAATATAAACAAGCTATCATAACTGTTTTGCTAACGATCATTTAAGTTTCTTCGAGTTCATTTTTAAAAAGTTGCATGTCACCAGTAAGTTCTTTCACAACCATGTTCAGTGGAGCTAATTGATGGCTAAGTGCCTTGGTAATTTCAGTAGCTAATGTCTTCATAAGAGCAATATAATGCATTCCTTGTTATAAGACTGATCAATCTGTTTTCACATTTTCTGCAGGGATTTCACTGTTCAATTCTGTTAATTTCATTTATATTATGATTTTGGTTTCTTGTGTTACTGTAGGTACAAGATTGACACACTAAAGGATCCATATGATCAGCAGAAGTTGACACAGCAGTGTTTTGTAAAGAGAGAATTGCATTTGCAGTCTCTGAACAAGAATGGAAAAAGCCACCTAAGCCAGTTGTTAAGTCTTTGTAAAATTTGAGGATGTTGCTAGTGTTCAGATTGTTTTAGGGGACTGTCCGGATTTGTGAATACTCGTCCAAACATAATTTCTTGATCATTTTATTCGGAAGCGATCAACCTTGTCCGGATAGTGTTCCCGGAACCGGATTTGGTATACCTTTATGGTTTTCTAATCAGTTTTGGAAAAGAGTTTTTGCTCTTAATTCTTGAATCATTATTTTGGACTTGGACAATTGTTTTGAGTTTGGTTTAATTTTTTTAGTTTTTAAATTTTGGATCATCGTTTATCTGTTTTTTGTTTTGTGTTTTCTGTTTGTATTTTGAGCTTGACTGTGTTTTTGATTTCTTTTATTTGATTTCACCGTATTTGATCCTAAATCAATCTTTCTGAAATGGCAGCTTTTTATGAGAGAGATTAC